TCAATCAGCCATGACTCAATCTGCTCACAAGATATCAAATTTTAAAAACAGAACAGTCACACATGTGCTCAAAACCAGAGCATTATAGCATCTGCCAAACAAAAATAGAATATGATGCCAAATCCAAATCAACAAATCAGCAAAACAGCTTCCAAATTTCACCAGAATTTAAATTGTTCAATGACAGAAAGCATTAAAATTGTTCGTAAATTTAAAACATTACAACCAAATCGAAAATAATTGTTCAAAAATAGAATTTAAAATCCTAATTAAAACTAATTGTCAGAAATCAGTCTTCATCCTCCGGTATGCCAAGGTGAGTCTTGAGTAGCTTCACCTCATGATCAAGCTCATCAAACTTGTCAAGAATACCAGAAAACAAAGATTCATGTCTTCTCGACATTTCCATCACCGCATCAAGTTTGTTTATAATGATTTTCTCAAATGGTGAAAACAGTTTTGGTTCCGCTTTTGGCTCCCTACCAGGTTCAGCTTCCGCCTGTGGTGGCTGATCCTCATCATGGGACGGAACACCGTCTTCATCGGTTGCCGGTTCAGGGGTTGGGGGTACATCGCCTTTGAACACCCATTTGTCTTCCTGTTGAAGCATCCCCATGTGATGCAAAGAAGACTTCTCAATCTTGTTCGAAGCATGTAAAATTATTTTTCTTTCCCCTGATAAATCGACACCTGCATTTTCAAAAATCTTTGACAATAACAGAGCATATGGAATTGGGCCATCTTCCTTCCGCCTTGCCTTCCGCATACAATCATTTACGACTGATACCCAATCAATCTTGATTTTCTTTTTAATCACATGCATCAATAGAATGTCATCTCTTGACATTTGAGCATGGTTATGTAAACGGGGTTTCAACATCCAAGTAATAATAAAAGAAATTAAGCGGGAATTCTTTTTCATACCTCCCGCCAGGAATTTCTCATAGTTGGTGTTCACCGGGTTCCTTTGACAGTCCCGGAAGGTAGTCAACTCTTCAAAATCCCCAAATTTGAAAGGTTGGGGTTTCTCCCGTCCAGAACCACTTAGCCCCGCAACAGCCTTCAAACTTGGCCCGTCCAACTTAATCATTTTTCCTTTCACCACCGATTGCATGATGCCCTCATTGCTTGTGGCAAAACAGAGAAATAACCTAATCAACTCAAGATAATAGGGGCCCTCCATTTCCAAAAACTTTCCCAGTTCTTGGTGCTCTAGAAGGGTTGGAAAACTAAAACCCTCATTCTTAAACCATTCAAGCTTAAGAGTCTTCGGAGGAATGATTCTTCGGCCAGCGCACCACTCAAAGTAGTATTCTTGAGTCTTCTCGTCTGGAAACCACTTTGAAATCAATTGCCTAGAGGGTATAGGCATGGTTGTCAAACTCGCAAGTCAACTCGTAGACTCGGACGAATTTACGATTCTAGAGGAGCAAAACTGGTTAACTCGCTTGTATCAAGGTGGAGATAGGTAGGGTTCTTGGCCGAAAATGACCAAGAGAGACTAAGGAAAATATAAAGGCACAAAAGGCTCACTCTATATTAATTTCCAAAGTATTTACATGGAGGCTAGCTTAGGGTATTTATAGAAGGAATGATGCATTTAGGGTTACATTTGAGAGTGCATGGCCAAGTAATGCGATCCAAATGCACTTCAAATGAAACCTAAATTAACCCTAGATGCTACTTGGTAGCCAAGGATCGAATCTTTGGGTTTGGTTAAGCTACATGTAGGTGCATGATAAGACCATGCACCCTAAGTTCCCTCCACAAGCCTTGCCAAGTCCAAAAATAAATCCAATGCCACCAAAAAAACATGTCTAGGTCTAGTTTCCAACCTTAATAAAATACCCTAGTTATAAAATAAAATCCTATAATCTAAGACACCCCATAATACAAGGGTAAAATGGGAAATACAAGTAAAAATAAATCCTATGGCTAAGACACCCCAAAATACAAGGGTAAAATAGGAAATACAAGAAAAATAAATCTTATGTCTAAGGTACCCAAGATATAAGGGTAAAATAGGAAATTAAAGACAAGGGAAAAAATAGGAATAAATCCTATACTAATAAAAACTTAAGAGTTAAGGCCCAAAAGTAGTCCCACTCCTCTCATGTTTTTCAAAACTAAACCATTCCTCTTGTCTCCTTCAATATATCACCTCTTGGTCTTCTTAGCCTTAGTGTGATTCCATTAATGCCTTAATTTGTCCTTTGAGACTTGATTCTTTAAGTGCTTGCGTGACAATCTTCATCTGCGTTTATTAGTCTTATGCGTCTCAATTTGTGATTTTCGCCTAAGTATTTAAGTTTAATGCTTTGACTTTCTTTTGATCTGGTCAATGTTACAGATGGACATACTTTGTTTTTATTTGAAATATCTTTCAGTCTGTGTTGTCCTTCGTCTTGAAGTGCCGTTAAGCTATTTTTTGTAAAAATTAGAATATTCCCCTTAGATTCTGTATGTATTGAGGATTAGAAATACATATTTAATTTGCAAGAATGATGATCTGAGAGAGAACGAAATTATAGAAAAGTGCCTGTATGCTAGGTTTTGGAAAAATTAGAATATACTCATTACATTCTGTATGTATTGAGGATTAGAAATACATATTTAATTTGCAAGAATGATGATCTGAGAGAGAGAACGAAATTATAGAAAAGTGTCTGTAAGCTAGGTTTTGGAAAAATTAGAATATTCCCATTAGATTCTGTATGTATTGAGGATTAGAA